TTTTTCTGCATTTATGTGACTGAGACAATAAGCAATAAGATTGTAGTGATCAAGATCAAGTAGGGACTAAATTAAATAGATGCTTCATGCTTGTGTCTGATTCTGCTGGAGTCCTTCACACTCGATGCGTTCAGCATTGTACCATTATTTGTAACAAGAGAGGGCAAGTAACTCATGACATAACAGTGGTGAAGATGTCAGCAAGAGGAGTTACTAAATGAGTCAATCTGATTATATATAAAAGGAATTGGGTGAGGATAAGTCTAAATGTTTGCTTTTAATAGACTTGTGTGAGTAATTTTGGCATATCTAAGCTAACTGTGTGCTTAAATCAAACATTATATGCAGTCAAATAATAAAGCCCTGGACATCCTGTGCACAAAATATATAATTAGTTTTTTCCTCAAAGTAAAAAAAAAGGTAAAAACTTGTGTTTTGGATTTGTAAAAATGTGGCACACATATATAAATCAAGCTTGGCCAGATTTAACTCCAAGTTGTGCATTTTCAAATCTGGATTCACACAAAGTTATAATAATGATGTGTAGCAGACAAAAACTGCTCATATGCACTCAAAGTCAACATCCGATTAAAGTGATTCTGATTACAGAAAAATACACATTTTTTACTTTTGCTTTTATAGTGTTTGTACTAGGGTAGTTTACGTTTTGCTACATTTAGTTTTGAGTGTTTTGCCACCCCCTATTTTTGCCTTCTTAGTATAATAAATTTAGATTGAGTATTGTACACACTGAAGATCTTAGGTTCATTTTTATTGTTTGTTTTGTTGTTCAGTTTAGGATTCTGACTTTTTTTTTTGGATTTGGATTGGCCAGCATTTATTATTGTTTTATTTATAAAATAAAATCGTAAATAAATTTGTTCTCATTATTGTTCATTTTCTTGATCTAATAATATTTGAGTAAAGAGGCTCTACAAAATAAAAAATAAAACAATGAATAATGATGACCATATTGATTTTGTTAGCTTGCATTGCTAGTTTTGATTCAGTGCATGTCATTAAGATTACCCCTGTAATCTTCAATTGCAATCTGAAAACACACTTCCTTTTTAATGCAGACTTTAACATCTAAATTTGTAACAATAAACATTTTAACAAAGGACTTTTAATGAATAAAACAACAACAATTTGACTAACCTCCAGGAAGTGGGGTAAGCTTTGAGAGTTTTGTTTTGACTGAAACAAACAATATAATACTCCTCTAAAATGCAACTATAATCTGCGTGTAATTTATATTTTAAAATGTTAAGTGAGCTAACGGACCCTTAATCAAAAAATAATGTTAAACTAAGCTGACATTGGAAGAATTAAAACATGTGTTTATTTTATCAAGTCATCAAACATCTCAAAATATGTCATACATTCGTGTGTTAAAGGGTTTGACATTTAATGCAGTAAGCAATGAAGCACATTCTGACTTTCAATTAGTGATGATAAATTCAGAAGTTAAAAAAACATAACATAACACTCTGTGTCTGACTCTGAATCCTGGAAAATAAAAGACCGCCCAGGTTTTGTTACTGAATTCACATTTAAACTATTTAAGTTCAAACGTCAATACAGTCTGTGAGCTTTAAATATTTATATCTGCAGCAAATTCCCTTTTCCTATAGCGAGATTGTGCCCAAGCAATATTCCTGGCTTTGTGTTTGTTGGCAAAAACAACAGGAAATGCCTCCTCTATACTGCCACACCGAAAATGCACAGCTTACACTACGTTTTCATAATCATAACACAGAAGAAACACTGCTCACAGTTTTATCGCAGAGTGAGACAGTTACACAACCACATCAAATTAGACACAAAATAGTTTATTCTGGGAAAAAATAAACATTCTGTGTAGTTATCATTTAAAGATAAATTATTAATATTAAGATTCTGCTAAATGAGTGCTGAACTTCCGGTTGTGTTCTGCTAGTCTGTGGTGTATGATAAATGTTAAATCTGCCAGTTTGAGGGATCAATTCAATTCAAGTGTTGCTGCTGTAAAACTGTCCTCAATCAGTCTTTACTCATATTACCCACTCCCCATATTCAAGATTGTATTGGCAGAATTTCCCAATGTTTTAAATAACTTTATAAAACACTTCAATGTTATCATGACCGGATCAGAACCCAGATGCCAAACGCTTTGTTGTAATTTGTTGTTGTATTGGGTTTTGATTGAATTGATAACACAGCTTTGAAATAAATATATGTGATCTATACATGGTTTGTGGTAAAATTGTGGCAAGCTACAAACTAGAATTGTTTTTGTAATTGTACTTGATATTGGTGCACTACTGTCGCATGCTTGCTATAATCTGCTAGCTGATATTTTTCAGCGATATACAACACTAGATTATTAGTTTTGTTTAATACTTTCCATCTCTTTATCATATGATTTATATTATATTATTAACTATTTTCATCATCAGTGTGGAAAATTAAATATTTATCAGTGTTTATCTTCAACCTGCAATGCTCTTTGCAAAATCTATCTAAAATCTATCTGTCTGTCTATCTATCCATACATACAAATACTCATAGTATGGTTTAATGATGCATTGAGATATATTGCAATACTAATAGTTTTCAGTGCGTTTTCAGTTTAACCAATTTTAGCAACATAAACAGCCTATAAACAGTTAGTGACAGAGTGCAAATCAGTTAATAAATCAGCTTCAAAACCATAAACATTTGTATTCTGGTCTGATCCCTGCCCTGTACACTGGGGACCAAGACAAAGTTTAAATCTATTCAAATTAGGGGTGTCAGTTTCCAAAAATTCACACGATTTATCTTTTTTTTTTTTTTTTTTAATAATGACCTTTGTTTAATCACTACGTGCTTAATGATACAAGATGTGTCTACTTCAAATGACATTTAAAATACAGGCATCAGCCTCAAGGAAAATTATTTTACTATAAGTAAAAGGTTAGCAGGCTTTAAAAATAATTAATGATTAAAAATGTAATAGAACCATTTAATCATTAACACAATGAATAAATATAATGATTAATATACAACGTATCAGTTGTGCCATCTCAAATGTACACAATAGCAACTAGTGCATGCATTTATGTGAGAAAATAGATTAAGTTATTGTATATACTTCCAAAATCTGCATAGGTTAAGCTGCATATTAAAGAAAATTTGAAGAATGTGAAAATGAAACCAACTAGTGAATAAGTCCACAACCCCAAGTCCATACCCAATTTTGCATTTTAAGTCCATTATATGCTTTTTTTTTTAACCACACCTTAACTACGGCTGGGCGATTGGGCCTAAAATCAAAGTCTTGATTAATTGAACATTTAAACTCGATTACAATTTATGAACAATTATTTTATTTATTTATTCATTTATTTTTTTGCCTTCATAGTTCACTGGCAAGTTTTATATGACGTCTTAAGGCATCTCTGGCACAGCATCCAATCATTGTCAATGTAGTGCAAAGTAAGGCTCAAAGTGTTGCATGCAGAACTGTTGCAAACAATTTATTTGTGTTGAATTTAAACAAAAAAATTAAGTTTAATAATGTTCAACTTAATTTGTTTGATTAAATTCAACACAAATAAATTGTTTACAATCACTTAACATTAAAAAATTTTTAGTAAATCCAAGGAATCATCTTTGAATAATTTTTTTCAGTGATCGTCCAACTTCACCAGAGATCAGCTGTAGCTGCAAAGTGGTCGCAGAAGTAGAAATCAGCCAAAGCCTTTAACAGAGCGGGGTCACATGAGAAGTAGGGAAAGTAATTGAAAAAATCGTCCTGGGAAAATTTGATCGATAATAAGTTCTAAATGTCGATTTCGATTACTTTCAGATTAATCGCCCAGCCCTACAACAAACAATTTTTTATTTTGGTTTACAATAATTTTGCATTATGAATTCAGTATTGTTATATGCATTGAATGGTGATACCCCTAATAATGCTACAATAGTATAATGATTATAATGTTATTACAATAAAAAAAGCCTTTGTGATGAGAAAAAACTATAACAACTATTACATGAATAACAAACAATAAATCTAAGTTTCAGGACTTGTCTTTTTTTCTATCTGTTTTTTTTAACCCCAAAGAATCACATCTAGTTCAAAAGTCTTAATGTTCATCTTCCTAAGTAACACTTTTTTACAACAACAACAAAACACGTGCAGCTTTTTATCACCAGCAATCATTATAATCATATCAAGAAAACACAGGTGGGGCACTAATAATGCTCATGCCAAAATAAACAACAAGAGAAAGCACAATTAAAAGCTTTTCGTGGCTGGTCTCAGTACAGGTCAAACAATCTCACAGCACAACCTTTCCCAATAAAAACCTCATGTAAACACCAGCTAAACAAACACCAACTTCAAACTAAAACACACAGAAACTAAAAGTAACAGGCCGTGGTCGATGGTTGTTGTTCTGTAAACACAAGACAGCTTCTGACCATCACAAACACACAATTCAAAGGTTCAAACATGTCCGTGACCACAAAAATTCAATGTTTACAGCCAACTATTTAGGTTAAGCGACTGACTAGTTGTGTGTTTGTATATACATGTACAAATGTAGCAAGTTACCAGAAGTCCAAACTGTCAAAGTAGCGAATCTCCAGCCTGTTAGCAGCCTACGCACCACCCACATGCTGCTTCTCACTTACGACTGACTCTTCTCACGCTCCATAAATCATTTGACGAACTCCCTTAAACGTTAAAAGAAGAATAAATGGCACTGATATCTTAATTCAGGTGGAGGAGGGTTAATTTCCCAGCAGCAGGCAGACAGCTGTGCGGGTTAGCTGGCAGCTAGCTGGATCCATCACAACAATAACAGTGCTCCTTTAACCGGCTTCAAAACAACACATCAAGCGTACCAAAATCTAATACGCAGCGTCGCCTCGAATAAATGTCAATCACGGGGACAGGCCGGACGAAAAGCATCGCTAAACAGGTATTGTATATAGGCTGTATCGAAAGTAATTTGCGGGTAACACTTTACCTTCAATTCCGCACTCTCCGCCATCTTGTTTCTCTGGCGCAAGCGTGATCGGAGCCCTGGCACGTGACCAGGTACGTGTGTTTGTTCAAACGTTCAGGAATCCCTCTAGTTCAAAAATTAGCGCGCGGATTACGCGATTTCACACTGTTTGAAATGAGTGTACGATGGCATCATACATCAGCGACTAGACGTGCAGCAATGAAACGGCGCGAATTGATAGATTTTTCGGTTTTATATGTTGTAAGTGTGTATAATTATTGGGCAAAATGCTAACGGCGGATGTTTTCCTTGGAATATTAACACATTTGGATTCAGTTTCGTGAGCTAAAGAGGGACACGTCCGACTCTGAGTCATTTTCATGAATCGGTTCATTCGAACTGTACGTTTCAAAAGTGTAGTGATAATAACAACAACTATGTCGTTTGTCATTTTGTACTTACGTTATCTGCATCATTTGTTATTTGCACTCTGTGATTTTAACTCGTCATTCTGCATGCTATTAATGTTTTCTATAGGGTGTAGTTGTAATTTTATTTGTCATTTGTTTCAGGCTGAAACTTTTAAGCCATTAATCTTAAAGTCCAGCCCAGCCCGAATAGCCAAAGTCATCAAAGCATTTTTAGATATTAATGGAAAAACATCAACAACTGAAAACTGTTATTTTGACAATTGTTGTTTTCTGGAGAAAAAAATTTCCAACTTCAAACCTTTTATTTGAGATTTCTGTGAACAGGTTTAAGCAATAAACATTTTATTTGATTAATTGAATATTGAAAATTATTTTACATCACAAGACATAAAAATTCAAGAGATGCAAATCCGCTAAAAGAGGAAACACAAGGAGCTAAACAGACAAACAAGTCGCAAATAAATACACCAAGAAAGATCACTATATATGTTGACAGATTAAGAGAGTTAATCTGTTAAGAATCATATTTGAATCTCTGAAATATTTTAATTCCACAATTAAAAGCAAGGGAAAAAAGTCTCAATGATCTATCAAACCAAACTGAAGAACTAACCTCACTGTAAAAGAAAATATGATCTGTTTAAAAATAAAATCTGAAACCTTATCTGTATCAAATCACTAACTGGGTAAATGTATTTGTATTCATTTGTTATACTTTTATTTTTTTCTCCTTAAACTTCTGAGCTACTGAGCATGCAAAAAAATATATATACTTTTCCCTTACTGAAACACTGAAACTACTTTTTACTAAAACTATAATTGTATAAAATATCCATTATCATAGTTAAAAAGTAATGAAATAATTAAACCAATTCAAAAAGCTTTTTGCTACATCTATCCCCTCTCGGACAGAGACTTTTAGTTAATAATTAAGTACCAAGGAGTGGAGTTATGTGTAAAAAAAACAGAAGAAAAAAAATCTATTAAATTTAGCTAGGGAATTTAATATGCTCAAAATCACACGTCGAAACAAATCTAAGGCTGGATTTTGTATGATTTATTCTTCAATTGGACAGTGTCAAAGTGAACAATTGTATTACAGTATTTCTCAACTGCTTTGGCTCAATTCTCGATTTATACATTTTAAATTTTCAAAAGTTAAGATCGCTGAACAATTGGCTTGTTCACATCAGATTGTCATTTCTCATTGATTTAAGCAAATTGCAAATGCTTTTGGCATATTTGTGAAAGCAGAAAATACAGTAGTTTGGACAAAACTAATTGCATATGGCTTGTTAATCTAAACTGATGAGTCAATTCTCATTTAACCTGTCAAACTCTTCACAACTTCTAACTCATTTTTCATCGTGTAAGTAAGCCATCACACTCAAAACAATCTATTCCAATATCATTTATCAAACATTTGTATACGCACATGTTTACACCATAAATATCTGATATTGTGGTATTGTATTGTCTGACATTAATGTCTGCTAAATTGGTAAATGACCTCTAATTGCAATAAAGTTTGCATCATGTATTTAATCAATCAAATTTGGGAGCATATGTAGATTATCCACAGCAAAATCACTTCCTTTTTTTGGAGAATGGAAAACTTTCACAATCCTGAACTGCAGCTTTTCATGGATGCTATTTTGTAGTATTTTTTGTTTATGGTTACATACATAAGAAATGTTAAATACAGTAATTGGACGAGTAAGATTGCACTTTACATGTAATACATTCATACAACAATAAATGTACTGCATAAATACAACTGTTCTTGTATTCACTCTTCTCAACAAATATTAGATTTTTTAAAAAAGCTTAATTTCCATACATGACAACAACTAATCATTTTGAGCAGTGTGGCTCACACAATGACAAATACACTTTATGTTTTGGTGACCTTGGCCAAATTAATGACATGACAGCTAGGTCGACACACAATTTAAATGTTTTGGGTGAGTAACTACATTTTGCAGACATGTTCCAGCAAACTGTTTTGACATTTGTTAAGACAATGTAAATGTAACTGTAATTTGCGAATGTGCTCATATGATAAACTTGCAGGCTTATGTTTAAGTGACAGCTAGACTCAGTAAAACAGGTAACAGCTCATTGTGTAAGGTGAGTCGAATGCTTTATTTTGTTTTCCTTCTATTTATTTTTAAAATATTGTGAAATTAGTTTCTTTGTTTCACAATGTTATAACATGAACTAAATGATTTTGAATCACAATTCAAGATTATTACTGCAGTTTATCTCAATCGCTTAGAAATATTTTTCAAAACAGACTTAACATTCTCTAAACTGGTGGTATGTCCAAATCTCAAAACTGTTTGCTGGAACTTCAGAACTTTACTCCATGACTGCAAAATGTAGTTACTCACCCAAAACATTTCATTCATGCTTCAAAAGTTAATTTGGTCAAGGCCACCAAAAGATAAAGTGTATTTGTCATTGTGTGAGCCACACTGCTCAAAATAATTAATTGTTTTTTCACCAATAGAGTCAATCATGGAAATTAAGATTTTAATAAATCTGTCAAAAGTACATAGAAGAAAATGAACATTTGTATTTATTCACTACATTTATTTGTGTACAAATGTATCACATGCAAAGTGCAATCTTGTTTGTCCAATTACCGTATTTTATATGATACCACAAATACACACACAACAAAAAACTTGAAAAATATCATCCACGAAAAAAAATCTTGGTGGACATTCTGTCACTCTTGTTGGCCTTGCCAGAGATTGCTCTTCCACTACTGCAGTTCATATACAGTTGAAGTCAGATTTATTAGCCCTCTTTGAATTTTTTTCTTCTTTTTTAAATATTTTCCAAATGATGTTTAACAGAGCAAAGAAAATTTTCACAGTATGTCTGCTAATATTTTTTTCTTCTGGAGAAAGCCTTAAATGTTTTATTTCGGCTAGAATAAAATCAGTTTTTAATTTTTTAAATACAATTTTAAGGACAATATTATTAGCCTCTTTAAGCATTTTTTTTTCTCGACTGTCTACAGAACAAACCATCGTTGTGCAATAACTTGCCTAATTACCCTAACCTGCCTAGTTAACCTAATTAACCTATTTACGCCTTTAAATGTCACTTCAAGCTGTATAGAAGTGTCTTGAAAAATATCTAGTTAAATATTATTTACTGTCATCATGGCAAAGATAAAATAAATCAGTTATTAGAGATGGGTTATTAAAACGATTATGTTTAGAAATGTGTTGAACAAATCTTCTTTCCGTTAAACAGAAATCAGGGAAACAAATAAACAAGCGGTCTAATAATTCAGGGGGACTAATAATTCTGACTTCAACTGTATATGCTTGATTGATAAATAGATAACGCAAATTGTTTATTTAGCACAAATTAAATTCAATTTCAGTGTCAGATATTTATGGTGTAAACACATGCATAAAAATGTTTGATAGTTGAATGGATTGTTTTGAGTGTAATGGCTTAAACGATAAAAAATGATTGAGAAGTTGTGAAGAATTTGACAGTTTAAATGGGAATGGACTCAACAGTTTTAATCAACAAGCCACATGCAATTAGTTTTTGACCAAACTACAGACAATTACTCACCACATTCACTACTATATTCACACATTTCGCAAGTTATTAATAAGCTAGCTGTTCATAGATCTAAACCTAAACCTATTGTTTTGAAATATCAATCGGGTACTGAGCCACAACAATTGAGAAAAACTGTAGTTTGAGAATGGGCTCATATGATAAACTTGGAAGGCTCATGTTTATGCGACAGCTACAAGAAGACTCAATCAATTAATGATTTTGAGTCACATTTCGGTACTATTACCAATACGCGATTAAACAGATGTCCACTAGATGTCACTCTCGCACCTGTTATCGCCGCTTCGTCAGTAATGAATGATAAAGAGTTTTACGTTGTTTGTTTTTTTTAGATGTTTTACTATTATTAATTAATTTTACGATTAGTTTTAATTATCTCAAAATAAAAGCATATTTATAGTGATTAGTCTGCACATAATAACCCTGATAAAAATCTACATATTGTTTTTTATTTATTTATCATTTTACAATAAATGCAAAATGAACAAAAAGATTATTCAGCATTAAGTAACATCAGAGTATACAAATATAAAAACATTTACATCATCAAATCCAGTTTATGTAACTTGATTAAAGCAGGAATCAAATAACAGCAAATGAATGGTCAGTGTGATAAAAATGGGCATTATGCACAAGGGTATACATAAAAATTTTCCTGGTTTCTAAAAATATGTGTGGGTTCTTTTTTAAGCTATATGTTAAATATTCAGAATACAGTATGTCATTTATGAAGTCCTAATTTAACAGAACACATTTTCTAGATACATAAGAAATCAGACCAACACTTTTGATTATATATATATATATATATATATAGCTTATTCAAGTTCACTCTGGATATTTCTTTCCCATGACCATCACAGAAGACTCAAGTATAGTCCCAAAAATCCCAAAACTCATTTAGTTTTTTACAGTTCCAAAAAATATGCATAATGGTGCCCATATGTTTCTTACAGCTGACACATAAAGGTGATACACCGTGTAATTTTATTACTAGAAAAAGATACACATTTGTATACAACATCCCACTGATCATCATCCAAATTACAACCAAGGTCTTTTTCCCCATGCGTTTATTAATGAGATTAAAGAAGAACCAGCTTGGTTAGCTAGATATTCTAGATAAAAGAACTGAACTTGAAGATGGTATTATGAAGTAGTCTATATATTTATATAGATAATAACATACAATAATATTTATTTATTCATTTAGAGAAACAAAGCTTCCTAACTGACAAGTGGCCTGTAGAAAATGTCATAAATATGCTTTAAAATATGTAATAAAAAAGTAATAATAATAAATAGATAAATCACGAGTTATTAATTATATTTATAAAATTATAAAACACTTAATCAAACACTGAGGTAGATGACACATATATAATAAGTATAAAATAATCAAAGTATGAATCAATAAAAATCGGATTACAATTATAATTAAACAAAAAGCATGATTAAATAATATTTAATTAATCAATGAAATGTAGCTAAATAAAACCGAGATTAAAACTTATGAAAACTAATATAGTTAAAATATTATTAATTAAATTGATTAAAATATAATTTCATCATAATTAAAAACTTGGTCTGGAAGTTGATGTGCAAAGTGGAAGAACAAACACTTCTGTCTTCTCATCTTCAAGGTTGAATGAGCCAGCAGAAACAAAACACGATGATAGAAACTAATGGAGCTTTAACATCGACCTCTACAAATGCTAAGAATTCATATGTGTAAATAGATACATGTACTGTGCCATTGACCTTCATGACAGGGTGCCCACGCTTCTTGACAGTACTTGAAACACGTACTTGAATTTCCGACACATCTATTCAATGACTTGAAAGTACGTGAAAAACAAGCACGGGTCCTTGAAAGTGCTTACATTAAACTTGAACTAAATTTTGTTACGGAGCGATTAAAGCGACTGCTTTTGTGTGTGCTCTGGTTTCTTTTTACAACATATCGCAGTGTTGAGTGTCGTAGCCAATCACAGGCATATCTGTTGGAAACAATGACCAATCAAATGCGTTTGCTCAGATTGAGTTTGTCAGTTCTATACTCAGAATATACTCAGTGTCCACCAAAACGTGTTTTAAGCCCGCAAACTGTATTATGTTTAATCAAAGTGTAGACACGATGTAAACAAGTTATTCATTCTGCAATGTGAGAAGTCAGATCTAGGCTAGCGAACTAAAGTTTTCAGTTGATTAAACTCAATCACGCCATAACCTAAAGGAGGCGCTCTTTGTTCTCTTTCTATAGGCTAGTTCACACATTTTTATGTATTACTTGTGTGTGCGGGTTTTAGCAACATGGGACATCTACCTATATGATTGACAACATCACGAAAAATGTGTTTTGGTCATGACCCTTTAAGACGACGTACTGCTATACCTCAATCTATAGACTAAAATATCAACATGAACTGCAAGAATTCGTGAGTAACGTTAGGTCTAACTTCTGAAATTGGCTCGTCTTTGTCAAGAACACGAAAAACCAGGTAGGACTAACGTCACATTTAGTTTTTCTTAGCTGCATTGTTTACGTTTTTAATTGTTAGCGTAATACTTATCATTTTGTATTTTTTAAAAAAGATCTAAAAGTCTGCTGAGATCTGGGCTTATACTTTTTGAAAAATTCATCTGGGCCCACATAAAAATGCTACAGTAATTTATAGTAAATACTAAAGTGTTTTGAACCATACTATATGTGTATAATACAGTACTACTTATTTGAATGCTACAGCATACTGTTTAGTTAGCGTGAACTGATGAACTGTAATATAGGCTATACTTCCGCTCCTTTATTATAATTTTTCTTTCAAGTGTTTGTTTTCCACCAGGTGGCATGAATGGTCCACGTAAACAGTATATTTTCCAACAAGCATACAAAAAAATTAGTAATTGTTGCAAAGCTAGATTATTAAATACTAATTTAACTTGTCTTGGCTTATTTCTGTCCATGATAATTAAATGAATTATTAAAATATGAATAAACATATGCATACATTTAAAGTAAGAATTATTAGCCCACCTTTTAATTTTTCTTTTCTTTATTAAATTTTTCCAAAATGATTTTTAACAGAGCAAGGAAATTTTCATGCGATGTCTGATAATATTTTTTCTTCTGGAGAAAGTGTTATTTGTTTTATTTCGCTAGAATAAAAGTCGTTTCAATTTTTTTAAAAACCATTTTAAGGTCAAAATTATAAGCTCCTTTAAGCAATTTTTTTTTCGATAGTCTACAGAACAAACCATCATTATACAATAACTTGCCTAATTACCCTAACCTGCTTAGTTAACCTAACTAACATAGTTAAGCCTTTAAATGTCACTTTAAACTGTATAGAAGTAAAAAATAGTAAAAAATATCTAGTCAAATATTATTTACTGTCACCATTATGTTCAGAAATGTGTTGAAAAATCTTCTCTTCGTTAAACAGAAATTGGAAAAAATAAACAGGGGGGCTAATAATTCAGGTGGGCTAATACTTCTGCCTTCAACTGTATATTATTTTTAGTATCATGAAACTTAGATGACACTGGAAAAAAAACATTACCTACAGGTAATTAACATACAATTTTGACTTTTCTAATATTATTGTCTTATAATTAATTAATCTGTAACATTTTGTTTAACTTTATATTATATTATATTATATTATATTATATTATATTATATTAATTATATTATATTATATTATATTATATTATATTATATTATATTATATTTAATGGTTTAATAAAGTAATGTTTTTGGGGAAATTAACCAGAAATACATATAAAAATGCGTCTGCCCACCTTCTTACATTCAAATGTATTCAATTCAATTCATGCTCATTTCTATAGCGCTTTTACAGTGTAGACTGTGTCAAAGCAGCTTAACATGGAGGTTCTAGTAAATTGAAAATGTGTCAGTCCAGTTTTCAGAGTTGAAGTTCAGTTTAGTTCAGTTCAGTGTGGTTTAAATCATCAGTCATATTCCTTTTCAATTTAGTTGTCAGTAAACGCCATAAAATTTCACGCAGTAACTAATACAGATTACAGATTGGAATCTGGTAGGTAGATTTTTTAAAACAAAGTGTTAAAACAGACAAATGTGGACTATCTAATGATCATTAATGCATTTACCCTATCAATTAAAGCAATCAAAGATCATTAAATCTATACATTTAGTATATAGACATAAATTACAGTAGAAACTTTGAAATGCATACACATAATAACGTTTCTGATAACATTGATATCCTCAGCTCCATGAATTTCTGAATATTTAAAAAATTATTAAGAAACCTAAAATAAAATCTTGACATCAACGTCATAACGACTACAAACACTCAAAAATAGTTCAGTGTTAGGGAAACAGATGAAAAAGACAGACTCTCAAACAAGATCATTTAATCCACATTTCAGTAGTTAGGGCTGCCAATTTAAAGTGCTTTACATCAATAATATACAAATATGCAGATGGGAATAAACAACCAACATGGTCATGAAATAAATTAAATATACAAAAAACATTAATTATTGTTGCATCTAATGTCCTAAACTATCACTAACAAACCAACAAAAAGGTATCACAGGATACATAACAAATATATGCATTGCACATAGCCACTTAATACCAGTGATTTCTACAACATATTTAAGTGGGACGTCATTTTTTTTTATAATGCAATTTTCTAGAACTTTATATAAATTATACAATACGTACAGTGACTCTGAAAACACTCCTTTGCGAATGAAAATGACTTCATTACAGTGTAAGAGCTAAAATACTACAGTACACACTTGCTTATTCCAGGTCTAAAGGTTGACAGTGTTTTGCAGAGGGAGGAAGAAAGTTTTGTTTTTTTGACACAGCAGTATTTCTAAAGAACACCTATGTCTTGAATGGGTGTCCATCAAGGCGGTAAAAGGGGAGGTTTGAAGGTGCAGGTCCCAGTGCAGTGACGGGGAGTCAGCATCTTACACGAAAAATGGTGTAGTGCGTCGTGAGCTTCTGGGAAAAAAGTGAATGAATCGTTTAAAAAGAAGGCATCATTTGAATGTGTGTGTGTGTGTGTGTGTGTGTGTGTGTGTGTGTGTGTGTGTGTGTGTGTGTGTGTGTGTGTGTGTGTAACATAGTGAGAGAGGGAGAAAAAGAAGTGTTAGAAGACAATAGTTGTAGCTCAAATATAGCTTTTAAATAATATATAAACACCAGATTACCCAATAATACAGTGCCTTTGCCACAAATCAATAACTTTTTAATTACTGATGAACTCTTATGGTTTAACTCAGTCAACTCAGTAAGTGTCTGTGCAGGAGAGATCAAGAACAGAGGGGAAAATAAGTATTGAATACATCACATTTTTCTCAGATATTCTAAAGGTGCCTGTTACTTAAAACTTTCACCAGATGTTGATAACACCCAAAAAAATCCATATATGCAAGGAAAAGGAATAAATTGGTTTATTTAATGTAAACTAATTCGTTCACAAATGAAGTTATGCCTAATAAAATGAAATGACGCAAGGAAAAAGTATTGAACACATGAAGAAATGGAGGTGTAGAAAGGCAGTGAAAGCCCAGACAGCAGCTGAAATCTCTCAGTAATTCTTCAGCAACCCTCTGCCCTTTGTCAGTGTAAATGATAAATATTAGCTGCTTCAGTCCAACATCTATTAGCAGAACGATTAAGATGGAACCAGGTTGGAAATTTTAGCAAGACCATGAACAGAAACACAGCAAGAAAACTCTTGCATGCTTAAGAGAAAAAAAATCAAGCTGTAGAATGGCCCATCCAAACACCTGACTTGAATCCAATAGAAAATACAAATTAAAGATTAGATTTGATAGGCAAGACCCACAGAACCATGTGAAAAACTCACACCTGAGCAATGCATGTAACTTCATTCTCCACATGAGAAGAATCTTTAAGCTGCCATCACCAAAAAAAAAAACTTTTATATAAAGTATTAAATACGTTTCAGTAGTTAAGTATTTTCTCCTCGTGTCATTTCATTTTATGTTTGTATTGTTTGGGTTTTTACCAAAATCTGGTTCAATTCTATGTCAACAGCTCCTTTTGAAATAATATTCCCACGAAAAACATGACGTGTTCATTACTTATTTTCCCTGCTTTATAATTTTGCTGGTAACAGGTTTATTTAGGGATTTTGGGTCATCCTAGTGTTTGCACTTCAGAAGCTGAGTATGCAACTTTCCTAAAAACCAATACAGAATGCATCCTTTCTTTTTTGTTTAATAGCATACTATTTAGTATTTAGCATACTAATAACATTTAGTATAAAACTAAAAGACTCTTCTGAACTCCAGTGATCATTGTATTGTTTTATTAAATACAATCAAAACACTGTCGTGTGAAGTCGAACGCTTACCTCGAACAATCTGGAGCTGCTGCACCATTTCCTCTCTGTATGAAAGCTCCCTTTTCATTTGGTCTTGAAAACTGTCTGGGATAAACACGTGAAGTAAATTAAATATCAAAGAACATTTAGCATTATACAAATAGATATATACACATACAAATGATGTTGTGTTTTGACAAAAAATATTCAGACGCTTAATTCGTTTTTATTTGACTCATTTATTAAATGTGCATTTTAGGTTAAAGAGCTGAAACGTTGAGCTGAAGCTTGAGAGTTTTAATAGTGTGTATTGTAATGATAACTTTTGTTATATCATTTCTTAGTAAGGTGTTGTTTCTTATTTTTTCCGATATTTATTTTATTTTCCCTGTGTTTGAAATCCTTGCTTGCAGTACTTCAGAGTTACAGTCTGCTGATTAATATTTTTAAAATGATGCTCAGTCCAGACGACAGCATGATACTGTTCTTAACATATGATATTATGTTTGCTAAGTTCTTTAGGGAAACACTTATTTGTTTTTGTTCAATCTGTTTATGTTTGTAAAACCTAATGAGTTAATTTAATTTCTTCATGTGCCAACACAAATCGTGTGGAACTTTGTTTTACAGTGTACAATTAAAAATGACTTTTGCTGTTTGTTAAAACTACTTATTTAAAATGAGTTGAAACAACACAATTCTTATTTTTTCACTTAGTTTTTTTTTATGTTTAATCCACTTACATCTGTAGAAACGATTAAGTTAGCCAAATGAATTTGTGTTCGACCAACAAGAAGGAATTGTGTGGAACCCAGCATTTCTTATGTACCATGGGAAGCAAAACGTTCAACTAAATGATCGCAAAAAAAAAAAGGGATGCTTTTTCTAATCTATTTGCAACTACTCCTGCAACACTCCCTCTTGTTTAAATGTGAGATTTATATAGATCTTATATATAGAATTTGTATAGATCTGGTTATTTACTAAGAAAAAAAAAATCAGCATTAAAAATTGCAATGCATTTGCATTCATATTAAAAAAAGAAATTATATACAAAGCACTTTTTACTTTTTTTTTTTTTTTGCCAGGTTTAATTTTTAATAAAAATCTCACGTTTTCTTCCTCAGGATGTCTAATATTATTATTAATGTATGCTGATTGAAAATAAACACAAAAAACATCCAATTTTTAGCACATTAATGTACAAAAACATCAAAGAATTACTTGATATTTAAGTGATATATAGAAAATACCACGACAAAACCACAAAGAACACATTAGAGAGAAAAAAATGAACCTACCTTTTAGATTCTGGAACTCCCGCTCCAACTTTTTTCTAAGTTCGACTTGTTCCACGAGTTGTTTCTGCAGTTCCTCTGTTTAAATAAATAAAAGCAGCAGCTTATGTTACAATTATCAACAGCTTTATAACCACAATCAGCAAAACTGTTATGCATTCAAAAACAACAATTCTACAATGTGTCATTTTCTATGCCCTAAATGTGTGACTTAGTCATAATGTCAATTATTCTAGCACATAATGCTTAGTTACCTTTGGCCATGCTCTCTATGTTTTTCTCAATCAAGGAGCCCCTGTTGCCAGTGTCCTTGCAGATTGCTTCCTCATCTGCACACACTGACACACATACAGCATGAAGAAAACCAACAGACTGGTGTTGAATACCGGGAGGTCAGTAAACTGTACATACCATCATTTGGTTCCTTCAGGCGCTCCTCGCTGATGTTATTTTCATCCTGATGATTTTTGGGTTCCATCTCTTCTACTGTAGAAGAAGGCTCTTCTTCATGCACATCTTTTACTATAAGCATAAACACATTTAAATTACAAACACGGTATATTTATAATAACTTTTTGTTTAAATCATTTAATATATATATAAATGAAAAAGCACATATGTGAAAATAGGCATACCACTCGTTTCGCGCTGGTAAGTGGTCGCAGAACCAAAATAAGACGTGCTCATTTGATGCACGTGCTCGTCTCTTTCACGCGCATAGACCTGCAAATTGAGCAGACAATTAGCCGCAATTATCCACCTTTACATTTTCTATTTGGATGTGATTAGTAGAAACATAATGGAACCTTCGCTCATTTTAATCTATTTACACATTTTCAAAGAACTAACATAATGAAGAGCCTATCCACTGACAACAAATTCTCTCAATCCTACTAAGATTTGACAACGCGACAATTGCATGCGTTTACTTTATTTATTCGTTTCAAATCTCTTAAGAATAATAAACCAAAAATGTTTTTATTGAATTAAAATTAAATCGAAAATATTCACTTAACTATATTTCAGAAGAGAAATGAAAAAATGCTTATAATACTGCTTATAAAACTGTTTATAAATATGCAGGCTAGATATATGCATATAAGGCCAAAACTTTTTATATTTTAAAATAACCAAAATAACATTTACAATAAATACAGTATACTAATATTAATCAATATTCTGTACAAAAAAAACTAATATCGCCTAATAAGAATAACAAAATTACGCGTGCTTCTGTATTTAATAACTCACTTCAAAGCGCGTCGTGTGTTTATTGCCGTGGCTCTCCATATCAGACGGCCGCGTTTCGCTTGAATTCGTCGAGTGTAGGTCGTTCAAGGTGTGCATCTGGGTATTTTCTTGATCTTGCCCTTTAACCCCTTCACTCTGCGCTAGGGTCAAACTGTGCGGACTCCGTCGGTCATCCACCGAGAGCTGCAGACACTCCTCATCCTCATGCGCCTTATGGGACTCCACATCCACATCCGGATCATCCACACTGTCCACGTCCGGAGACACTGACCTGTAACTAGAACTTTCACTCAGAAAATCTGGTGACATGTAGCCGGACCGAGGGCCAGAGTACGGCCCTCTGTTGCCGTATAATTTTGCGATGCTCTCGACATCTTTAACAACCGGCCTGAATGCAGAAATGTAGCTTATTTTTCTCGAGGTGGGTGGAATTCCCTCTATCGACCTGCTCTCGTCCCCAGATTTATCCTCCTCGTTGCGGGTCGACTGAGTGCTCGAGCACCGTTCATTATCTAGTAAACTGTCTTTAGGGGTGCTTGTGCTTCGGTCACTTTGCTCTGACACGTCAAGCTCATTATGTCTGGCGCATAACACGTCAGATGGAGGTTTAGGTTGGGCATGGTGGTACGTTGGCATGGCCAAGCTGCCTGTTGTAGGCCAAAACATGGGGAAAGAAGTATAGGCACTGTCCTTAGGGCTCGGCCAAAACACACCTGACAGGTTTGTTTTGTTTGGCTCTCCCATCACCTCACCGTCATCCTTCTTTTGACACAATCCAAACGCCGGGAAACCGTATGGATGCGGAAATAGCGGTGGTGGTATTTTCTGTAACATCCCAAAACTCTTACTGGGCACTGGGATAACTGGGTAACTGCGGATGCTGCTCGGCATAGTCACGTTCACCCTGTCATCCTCACAGCGGAGAGTTTTGTGCGGCACATCGGACGGTTCCCCTTGGGTCTGACCTCTGGGTGGTTGCGAAGGCGAACTTTCAGACCGACCGATTGGCAGCGTCCTCTTGCGGCTGCCACCGTTAAACATGGCCTTGACATCTTCCCAGGCGTGGATCACGTCGTCCGATGAGTTCTTATCGCTGAGTTTTAAGTGTCTTCTCCAAGAATTGAAGTTTGCCGCGTCGGGCTGTGTGTATTTGGATTCTGGCGTGCGGTGAGAGTGAAATATGAACTTATTTGGAGAAAAATACATGTTGCAGAATGAACACTTAATACACTTGGCTCTCGAGCTGTTGTACCTAGCAGGGATGAAATTGCCCCGGCTGCCCCACGCGCATTCGTGCGACACGTCAAAAGCGAAATTTTCTGGTAATTTCGGCGGGCTGTGGGCGCCCAGGAACGATTTGCAGAGCCTCTCGGCCTCTCGCTTTGTAATCATCCCGCAGCGTCTCGAGGAAATGGGCATAGCCCCCGCGCGCCTGAGGATCTCCAGCTGGACCGGGGTGCACTGCACACAGGTGATGCCCAGAGCCACGCGCCGGTTGTGGATTTCGTTATAGCTATAGTTCTTCAACAAAGTGTTGGATATTTGGGCTAGGCAAAGTCTCTCTTGACCGTCTATGACTAATGAAACGATCGGTATTCCGTATAAAGAGGTCTCACTGACTTGGTTCGGCTTAAGTGGTGGGCCAGAGTAAGACTGCAAGTCTTTAGAGTTCGGCGAACAGCTGGAGTCTCTTCCAGCCGGCAGCTGATTTGGGATAGATTCCATTCCTGGAAATCTGTAAAGAGTGATGCAAAGAATAGTTTTAGGTAATGTATTGAGTACAATAATTTAGAAAGAGAAATGATTTTTTTTCATGTCATAGCATGCGATTTAATGTAATAATAGGCTAATAATAATAATAATAATAATAATACATAGTCTATAATAATAATAAAATATATATTAAACGGTGAAAAATCTAATTTATGATGCTCGAAACTCGCCATGCAAGGTTATTAATTCATATATAAAAAATATTTGTCTTCATATCTCTGTATATATAATAATAAACAAGGTTGGTGGTCGTAATTTTATATATTTTTTGTCATCGAATTTTAGGACGTTTGTTTTTTATTCGTTTGAATACAATACAAGTTTTAGCGTGCTGAACATATAACCGTTTTGAAAAGGCAAACAATTGTTGTGTCAACAGCAAGGATTATCGAGGAAAGAGCAGAAGGAAATTATTCCTTGAGCCTTACCAAAGAGCTTAATAACGGTGTAAGACGCTTTAAGCCGCTTTAATTGTAATTACTAGAGGTGAGCTTTGCGTTTTTGATCTGTTGATAAAGCCAAACGAACTACAATTAAGATACAATGTGTTTACATTATAGTCCCGTTTCCTATCTTAATTTAATTTAGCTAAACTTACACAAGTGTTTTGTTTGTCAAGAATTCGATACAAATTGAAACATCTTTTAAACATGTATAGCCCATATTTTGGAAGACGTATTTATCTGATTTGTACAAATAAATGTTAAGTGTGCTTTTGGATAAATTGTGTATTAAGACGCAGTGTTTGATTTGTTTATCCTATACGCAGCTCTTTAAGATTTTCCCCACCATATAAAATGTTAAAAAGTGAACACTGCAAACATCAAAAATCTCACCTTTTTTTGAGAAGATGCCTTTTGTGTCTTTAATCTGCGGAGCAAAACGCGTCTTCGAAACCTTCGAGTCCTTCGGAAAAACGCGCTCTTTCTGTCCTCTGTTAGAGCCTTTTTGTAATCAGACGCATTGGAATCCCGCCGATCTGATATAAAATGTCCACAAGCGCTAGTTTAGCGGTTTTCTCTCCGGCCTGTTATCAGTGCGCGTGGACTTGCATCGTACTCGGCTCTCCCGCGACTAGTGTTGAGGCGCGCGCGGAGGCTTGACCACATGCTAGTGCAGACCTCAACGACACAACCACTGAAGACATTCGACAGTGCTCAAGTGACAGCTAAACTAATGGCGAGGCACTCCCACTTAGCGCCAGCATATTTACATTAACTATTTGCCTTCGGGACCAATGGGGACGACAGTCAGTGCTGTCATTGAGGCCTGGAGACGTTTAAAGTTCACCACGTGATCTTTTAACACACGAAAGTGATTGCTTGTCTGCCAGTGTGTGCGGGGGCGTGCGTGGCATTTAGGAACACTTTAGATTAGTCGACCTAGTAGACTACTTGTAAAAGGTCTGTTTAATGTGAAACAACAGTTTTAATACGAGAGCTACTGCATGCGCTCTGAGGAAAATGGGTATGTTTTTGTAAGCTTTTAATATGCTCTCATAAAATATTTTCACAGATGTCTGTAGCATAAAGGTGAGTATTTTTTATAGGTGCATGCTCTAATCTAAAATCTTTCCTAAATCTAAAGAAATGCAATTGTCACTTGAATAAATCTAATGTTTACTAAAGCTTCCCTAAATATTTTCATGTGTTCACAAGCCTGTAGTTCATATGTATCATTCTGACTGGACAATTGTCATTTAAATGATATATGTCCTCTATTTGTTTAACTCAAACCAAGAATAAAGGCTTTAGATGAATAAATGAATAACATTGCGCATAATTCACCCTATAACATTGTATGGGAATCAAAAGAAACGCGTAAAATAAAAAGCGCATAAACAGAAAAAGGAAACAGCCTCGAGCATTTTCATCTATATTCAGTGTCTGTTTAAAAATAAACTATACTCTTATTGAAATTGCATGGTGCCGGGGGACTAAGCAATGATTGTCTCCGGGGGCTATTTGGATCGGTGTGGGTTAGGGGTGTGCTGTTGCCCGCATGTGTTTAAGTTCCCACGAGTTAGTTTAACTTTTAGAAGCAATCATTCTTATGGAGAGTACGCGTAATTCAGGACGTTACGCTTTAAATGCCGTTTAAAAGCCGTGTCTGCATTGACAGTTTCAGACACAACGCAATATCAAGAGGATTCTTGTTTTAGGTAAAATTAAATGCAGAAGCGATAGTGAATAAAAACATAAAATTGATACACATAAATGATGACTTTAAAATAAAAAATAAGAGAATTTAGAAATTTTAAAAATGCATTATATAAATGACATGTAATTACAGACTGTAGAAGATCAAATAAAACAAACAAATAATTGTAAAGCAATATTAGGTATAGCCTGATTAAACTTAAGAGAAAACTTTATCGACGTTTTCTTATTTTTAGCCTTACTTAGATTAAACTGCTCATGATAGTCTCTAGAATGCTTTGCGAGGTGAAAACGAGCGCGTTCTGCAATATTGATAGCGGAGGGAGGACCTGGGGAGGGAGTTTGGAGTAATGCGACCCAGCCCAGCGCTATTGACTTTCACAGGCAAGAGACTTTCTTTCTCGCCAACAATAATTACCATTTTGGACTGTAATTATTCACTTCTTTTAAATTATTTAGGGAGCGAGCTGAATGGCATATTGTTATCCATTATTTCTTTTACTTACCCATCATGCTTAGATTCGGAGCAGATACGGGAATCCGACACCTCACATGATATTTAATTTAGCTCTTTTGTCGATCCTTAAGAAATTAGAGAGCACGTTCTAGAACAAAGAACATCCAACAATGTATCAGTAGATCTTGATGAAAAAAAAAAAACAGAATAAGTATATTCTAAGCTGCAGTTAGTACAATAAATAAATAAATAAATAAAGCAACAAATAACAATGACAATAACAATAATTAATACTACTACTACTACTACTACTATTATTATTATTATTATTATTATCATCATTATTATTATAAAGGTATTGTTGTTTAATTAAATCTGCATTATTATAATTATTATATTATAATAAATAATTAAAATAACAACAATGATAATAAAAATAATAATTATTGTTTTTTCTTTTTTGAGATAATAACAATAAATATAATTTGTATTGTAATTATTATAAATAATTATAATAATTCAGATTTGTGTATACAGGAGAAGTGTATATTATTAAATGCCATGATATTGAAAAGCAGATAGTTTATAATAGTTACTTTTATCATTTATAAAAACGGTACGCAGTATAGACATTAAAGAAAATCAGGCATAGCTTACTTTACATACTTTTGTCGAGATGTGCAGGGCCATTTTAAATTAAAATAATACTTTCGGTTGCTCCAAAGGCTGTAACAACACATTAATATGTAACAACATAGCCTATTAAGCTGTACTATATCAACATCAATCATATATAATAATAATAATAATTATTATTATAATTATTATTAATAAATAATAATAATAATATCAATTATTATGATTATTATTATTATCATCATCATTATTATTATTAGGCTATTATGAATTTCTTTATAAACACACAAACAAAAAAGACATTAAATCTCAGAGATTGTAACTCATCACTACAGCCATTTTTGCATTTCAGATGACAAAACCCTAGCCATTAATAAACGATTAACGTGATCAAAGCGTTTATTAACATTTTGGTTAGCATAAATAAGCAGCAAAATAAGTAAACATATAAAGCAAAATGAAATATAGGCCATTGCGTTTTGATAAATTAATACCCTATACGTTCTAATTAATTAATTAATTTCTTATCTTATTCATTATCATCAAAATGTCGTAGTATTGCCACGTTGAAAAAAGTAACAGTCCAAACGCTGTATTTCAAGCTTAATTGCTATTGGATTGCACGTGCTGGCATATCGACAGCTTTAAACAAGAACACTGGAGGAGCCGTGTTGTGTTGTTGTAAAGCGTCAGGGAGGTTCCACTGACCCCTATTCATTCCTGTTAGACACCTCGCTTGAACAAGTTAATGATCTTTAAAATAAAAGTAGACCAAATGTATAACTTTCTTTAAAAGTTACAAGCCCAAACACATAAATATGAACGTTAAATAAAATTTGCCTCAGAAGAGAGCTTGGGAATAAACGCTCTGTTTCTACGAGGTATCAGCATAAAACCATGACCCCAATAAATTTAATTTTAGGGACAAATCAATCCTCTTCTCTTTTATCGATCGCCGTTTGCTCGCCACACTTGGGCCGCGTTTCAACGCCTTTTTTTGTTTCACTTCGAAATAGCATTTCGATTAGATCCTTTATTAAGCGCGGATTGCCCCAAAAGGATCGGTGCGGCCAGAAAATTAAATGGTGACATTTTAATTACTGGACATTGATGAAGGCGTCCCGGTAATAGTTGTGTATGAGGACTGGCACACTGTGTCAACCCAGGTGGACTGAAAAGTGAAGGCTGTACAGCACAGACTGCACAATACAAACTAAAAGAAAAAAAGGCAGGACAGCTGCACTACCAATGAGCGAATGAAAAGGCGGCGTGGCTGTGAATGGCAAGCAGTCAGCGAATCATATAGGGTTCATTTATGTACAATCTTTTGAAGTTGGGTGTATTATAAATACAACTATTGTACTATTTTTTTTATTTATTTTTTTGACATTACTTTTGCTCTTGCTTATCATGTAGATTTGAATTGGTTATGTTCTATACCAGGCCTGTAGCTTGGTGAAAAGGGCTAGTTCTTTTTTTCTCATAAAGTGAACCCTTATTTTGCCTCATTTTCTAATTTTTGAGGTTTAAATACTTCATTTCAGTGACATGTTAAGCACTATTTTTAGCTGGATTAACTTGTCCTATATATATGATCATCATACCCACAATTTTTGATGCACCAAAACATTTCCTAAACATTTAGAATATAGAAATGTGAAAATAATACTTAATTTTTAAATACAATATTATTATTATTATTTTTATTATATCATCAGAAAAAATAGGAATCTGTTCAAATTTTTAAGTAAAAGTATATAGCCTATTGTCATTTATTAGTCAAATAACAATCTAGCCAGCATGTTCAACTTTCCTTGGTCAGAAATTGGGATATCCAAATTTGGGATTTGAGCATCCCAAATTCTGTACCAATAGCCAACACAGGATTCGGCTTGGTCTTAAAGCCATTTTCAATAGGCTATTTTCACAATTTATTATGGAATAGCAGTCAAAATAAGATAAATGAGCTCATGTAGTATGGGACAAATTCTGGATCTTTGTCAGTGAAGAGTGGATCTTTTGAACAGACTGACACAATTCAAAAAACACGATTCAAACCATTAAAAATTGAGGTGTCAAAAGTTTTTTTTTTTTTGTAATTATTCCATATAGAGGAACCATTTTTAAATGATCAAAGACCCACTTCTTAGGTCACTTTAAAATCACAAAGAACTTTTTGTCTAATATAATGTTTTGTGAAATGCAAAGGTTATTTTTCATGTTTATTCCGCAAAAGGTTAAAGTGAAAGGTTATAATATTTAAATGTTCTTTGCACTAAGAATATTTTTTTCTTTCAAGAACTCTTTACTCAAGATTATATATTACAAACATGATAGAATTTAATACAAAGCAATGTGTTTATATATATATATATATATATATATATATATATATATATATATATATATATATATATATATACCCAGAAATATGTTCCAAATATGTACCAAATTGTACTAAATTCATCTAGGCACAAACAATTGCTTTTTTAAATTTCCAAAGTAATTACTGTTCCTATATCAAAGGACAAAATAAGTGGGCTACTATTGGAGAAAGGATATTTGGATAACATAATAATAAAAGAAACTGAATTAATTACAATTTCCACAAAAAATATATAAAATAAACAATAAAATAATAATAAAACATCTCGAATAAATCTCACAATTTACACAGAAGCTCAAAAAACCAACGGAACATTACAGTCAGATGGATGTTGCATTGCATTACATCAGATAATGAGTAAAATGAGATCCAAAAAATTGTAATGGCCCTATTCTGGACACTCTAGTCACCGGTTCCGGTATTATTAATATAAATGCACAAATAAGTATGTTTGCTGCTCTGTCCTCCTGAGTCTAAAGGGTCAGAGTCGGGTCATCTGATGATGTAGTGAGGCTACCAATTTGTGACTGGCAGCTTCGGTAATTTTACTTGTCAACTTAGAAAATTAGGTACAAAACAAACAAGGCTTTTAAAACGAACTTGTCACTCTTGATTCCCTTGACATGAGGTCACTGTGCTTAGACTCCACTAGAGGATTTAAAACCGCAGAGACTAAGCAAAACAAAAATACCCGGTTCCTTAATAAGGTTAGT